CCCCAGCACATTAGTTTGTCCAGGGGCTCATAATGGTGTTGAGACGGTGCTGCTCCTAAGGTCAGTAACCTATGTAGACAGTAATGACAGCTTTTTGTGTGTGTGTTTCTAGTGAACTAACTACGACTCTGACAAGAGAACCATGTCAACCGTTGGCGACAAATACTGTGATCCAGCATGTGGGGAGGTAGAGAAGGCCTTAACTCTAGCTGAATCTACGGGGGCTTCCTCTGAGGTCATTCAATCCCTGAAGAGAGCACTTGAGTTATCACAACTTCGCGACGCCTTTGCCAAAGAATCAACATCCAAAGAAAGTGCTACTCTGAAGAAGATCTTTGACGAAACCTACAGTCAAGATTGGGCTGGTCTGCGTCAGCAAGGAAAGATAACATGGCGTCTTCGACCTGCTATGATGAGTGGAACTCTAGAGGGTAAGAAGTGTATTGTATGCATTAAAATAGGTTTATTCTAACAGCTCATCCTGGAATATGATGGTATCATGGTATACTTTGCTTCGCCTGGTATACTTTGCTTCATCTGGTATACTTTGCTTCACCAGTTATACTTTGCTTTACCTGGTATACTTAGCCTATGATTAGTATATTTTGCTTCAACTAGTATACTTTACTCTGGTATTCTTCGCTTCACCTGATACACTTTGCTTCACTGGTATTCTTTGCTTTACCTGGTATACTTTGCTTCACCTGATATACTTTGCTTCACCTGATATACTTTGCTTCACCTGATATACTTTGCTTCACCTGGTATACTTTGCTTCACCTGATATACTTTGCTTCACCTGGTATACTTTGCTTCACCTGGTATACTTTGCTTCACCTGGTATACTTTGCTTCACCTGATATACTTTGCTTCACCTGGTATATTTCGCTTTACCTGGTATACTTTGCTTCACCTGATATACTTTGCTTCACCTGGTATAAATTGCTTCACTTGATACTTTTTGCTTCACCTGGTATACTTTGCTTCACCTGATATACTTTGCTTCACCTGATATATTTTGCTTCACCTCATACACTTTGCTTCACTTGGTACACCTTGCTTCACTTGGTACACCTTGCTTGACCTGGTATACATTGCTTCACTTGGTACACTTTGCTTAGCCTCATACACTTTGCTTTACCTGGTATAATTTGCTTCACCTGGTATACTTTGCTTCACCTGGTATACATTGCTTCACTTGGTATACTTTGTTTCACCTGGAATATTTTGCTTTACCTGGTATACTTTGCTTCACCTGGTATACTTTGCTTCACCTGGTATACATTACTTCACTTGGTACACTTTGTTTCACCTAGAATACTTTGCTTCACCTGGTATACTTTGCTTCACCTTGTATATTTTGCTTCACCTGGTATACTTTACTTCACCTATTATACTTTGCTTCACCTGGTATACTTTGCTTCACCTGGTATACTTTACTTCACCTATTATACTTTGCTTCATCTGGTATACTTTGCTTCACCTGGTATACATTGCTTCACTTGGTCCACTTTGCTTCACCTGGTATACTTTAATTCACCATTATACTTTGCTTTACCTGGTATACGTTGCTTCATCTAGTATACTTTACCTATTATACTTTGCTTCACCTGGCATACTTTGCTTCCCCTAGTATAAATGGCTTTGCTCGATGTACTTTGCTTTCATAACACTAGGGCATTTGTGGAGGTCAAAAGGAATTAAAAGAAGAACTAAACTTGAAATTTTTAATAATAATGTCAAATTAGTATTTGTCTATGTGGCGGGAACAAGGAGAACAACTAAGGTAGTTAGTTACAAATAAACTACAGACATTTATTAACTGGTGACTGCATAGAAAAGAGGGAACAATAGTATGATATAATCACTAATGCCTAGCTCTGTGAGAGAACTAAGAAAGCTCCAGTGGACCAAAAGGTGAAGAATTGACGCTGGCTTTGGATAGGACACACACTGAGAAAACCAGAGAACAATATAACCAGAATGTCTTTGCATTGAAACCCACAGGGGCATGGGAATAAAGAAAAGCCAAAAATACATCGAGAAGGAAGGTGAAGAATGAAGCTAAAATGGTGGGGAGGAAATAAGGAGAGCTGCAGGCGATAACAAAGAATAGAACGAACGACTTTGCGTGATTTGGTTGAGGGCCTATGCTCCATAGGGGGATAGAAAGGCAGAAGAAGAAGAAGATTACCTTTTCTTTACGACACCCTATCGCTTGCGGGGTGCAACCTAATCTTCGTCCATACTTTGTCGGATATCTTAAAATGTGCACCACCGTGATAGACGTTTTGGGCCTCTTCGGGCGTGGGGTTCGCTCTTCCCGTCGTTCTCTACCGACTTATCAACTACAAGAGTAGCTGTGCGTTAACGCTTACGGCGCACTAGGACCATGCAACTCCGTGAAGATTGTTCCACATTTACATTGTTATCTGAAAACGGATTTATTGATTTCGCTTGAGATGACATTAGAAAATGGGTATCTAGATCTAACATTTCCGAGTAACGACCTTTCCGAGATACCAACTTTTCGAGATACGAACCAAAGGAACGAATTAAGTTTTTTAGTCGAGGTACCAATATTCTGGGCACTTAATGAGAAGAAACCATGGGAGAATCACCAGACACTTTATCGGGAAACAGGTGGAACGAGGAAGTCCGTGAGAAACCATAGGAGAATATTCAGACACTTTAGGGTAAAACGAGGAAGTCCGTGAGAAACCATAGGAGAATCATTAGACACTTTAGGGCAGGCCTATTCAACTAAGTTGACTCAGGGGCCAAAATGTTCAAAAATGGATATCGTCACGGGCCAGAAGAAAGACCATAAATGCAATACAACTAGCAGTTATCTGCGGGCCACTTGATAGGCCTTGACGGGCCAGATTTGGCCCGCGGGCCGCCAGTTAAATAGCCCTGCTTTATTGTGAAAAAGGAAGTCTGTGAGAAACCATAGAAAAATCATCAGACACTTTAGGGTGAAAAAAAGGAAGTCCTTGAGAAACCACAGGAGAATCATTAGACACTTTAGGGTAAAAAAAAGGAAGTCTGTGAGAAACCATAGAAAAATCATCAGACACTTTAGGGTGAAAAAAAGGAAGTCCTTGAGAAACCCCAGGAGAATCATTAGACACTTTAGGGTGAAAAAAAGGAAGTCCTTGAGAAACCACAGGAGAATCATTAGACACTTTAGGGTAAAAAAAAGGAAGTCTGTGAGAAACCATAGAAAAATCATCAGACACTTTAGGGTGAAAAAAAGGAAGTCCTTGAGAAACCACAGGAGAATCATTAGACACTTTAGGGTAAAAAAAAGGAAGTCTGTGAGAAACCATAGAAAAATCATCAGACACTTTAGGGTGAAAAAAAGGAAGTCCTTGAGAAACCACAGGAGAATCATTAGACACTTTAGGGTAAAAAAAAAAAGGAAGTCTGTGAGAAACCATAGAAAAATCATCAGACACTTTAGGGTGAAAAAAAAGGAAGTCCGTGAGAAACCACAGGAGAATCATTAGACACTTTAGGGTAAAAAAAAGGAAGTCTGTGAGAAACCATAGAAAAATCATCAGACACTTTAGGGTGAAAAAAAGGAAGTCCTTGAGAAACCACAGGAGAATCATTAGACACTTTAGGGTTAAAAAAAGGAAGTCTGTGAGAAACCATAGAAAAATCATCAGACACTTTAGGGTGAAAAAAAGGAAGTCCGTGAGAAACCACAGGAGAATCTATAGACACTTTAGGGTAAAAAAAAGGAAGTCTGTAAGAAAACATAGAAAAATCATCAGACACTTTAGGGTGACAAAAAGGAAGTCCGTGAGAAACCACAGGAGAATCATCAGACACTTTAGGGTAAAACGAGGAAGTCGGTGGGAAACCATAGAAGAATCATCAGACACTTTGGGGTAAAACGAGGAAATCCGTGAGAAACCATAGCAGAATCATCAGACACTTTAGGGTAAAACGAGGAAGTCCGTGAGAAACCATAGGAGAATCATCAGACACTTTAGGGTAAAACGAGGAAGTCGGTGGGAAACCATAGGAGAATCATCAGACACTTTGGGGTAAAACGAGGAAGTCCGTGAGAAACCATAGGAGAATCATCAGACACTTTAGGGTAAAACGAGGAAGTCCGTGAGAAACCATAGGAGAATCATCAGTCACTTTAGGGTAAAACGGGGAAGTCCGTGAGAAACCGTAGGAGAATCATCAGACACTTTAGGGTAAAACGAGGAAGTCCGCGAGAAACCGTAGGAGAATATTCAGACATTTTAGGGTAAAACGAGGAAGTCCGTGAAAAACCATAGGAGAATCATTAAACACTTTAGGGTAAAACGAGGAAGTCCGTAAGAAACCATAGGAGAATCATCAGACACTTTAGTGTAAAACGAGGAAGTCCGTGAGAAACCATAGAAGAATCATCAGACACTTTAGGGTAAAACGAGGAAGTCAGCGAGAAACCATAGGAGAATCATCAGACACTTTAGGGCAGGACACTTAAGGGTAAAACGAGGAAGTCAGTGAGAAACCATAGGAGAATCATTAGACACTTCAGGGTGAAACGAAAAAGTCCGTGAGAAACCATTAAGATAAACCTTGATGAGATAGAACAACAGGTTTTGGACTGATTTCATCCACAATATCGAACCGATGGCACAGGCTTCAACGGAATTAAAGATATTTAACGAATATTATGTGATGCGTAACGGCACAATAGGGTGTTGATTTAATTATAAATGTAAAGGACGCCAGTGGCACATATTTGGGTATTATCCCAGTCGGTACTCCGTGTGTTGTGATCAACATCACGCCGACCGCCTGTATTTCCACGGAAAGGGGGAGGGGCCTTGTGTTCATGTCATCTTAGGCTGGGTCGACTAAGGAGCAAAGTACAATTAACAAAAATACCAGACACTTTAATCTTGTACGACAACATCTCGTCGGCTTTAAGATTTCATATTGAATCAAATACAACATCATGATGATGTTTTTTCCCGGTATTTCAGGTCAGTTTTTAAAATCACTAATCAGTATTCAGAAGGCTAAACGTGTTCTTGAAGTTGGCTTGTTTACTGGGTACAGTGCTGTTGCTATGGCGGAAGCTCTCCCAGGTAGGAGATAAAGTTTCTGTTTGTTTTTTTCTAGTTTTGCACTGGGAAGGCACGAATATGCTAGAAGAAGATAGCCCGGGTCACCCATTGGCTCGCCAGTCGGGACAGTATTTGGGTCTGTCTTCTGTGATCGCTTCAACACTGCAAGAGTCCTTTTTAGGACTACCTGGTGGCGAGAGCTGGTTGAATGTGACGACTTTTTCTAAAAAAAAAAAAAAAACATGATGATAATGTGTTAGAAGATCTACTGGTCACCCCAATAGGGTATTTCATATTTGGAGGGCTGTGCAAGCTTGGGCAATCAAACATCGATTCCATTGCATCTGACCAACAGAGGTGGGTGGGAACTGATTAGTTAAGTCAGTCAATCGCAACCTGGGGGACAGCTCACATTCACTCAGATTGGACTACAAGTTTCATAGTACGGTAGCTCTGTACAACTATAACACAGTTGAAAGGAGATTCTGGATGTGCTCCTGTTTGACTCTCACTGTTAATCCTATGGACTGCGGTCCTTGACGAGGGTGGGACATTTTTATTTTATTTTTACAGCAACTGGTGACCGAACGGACAATGGTGGCGACGGTAATGATGATAATGATGGTGATGATGATGATGATTGCATTTGAGGGGTAAGGGGGAGGGGATGTCTGCGGTGGCAAAGTGGCAAAACACTTGACTGTGGTTTTGCATTTCTTGAGTTCGTAAACTCAATGAGGTGAAATGTTTTATAATTAACATTAGCTCCTATATCAACGCACCCTGAATGAGTGCCAGGAAATGTCTTTGGAAGTAAAGATAGCAGGTGTAATGTTAACTACATTGCCCCGTACTAGATGTCATGATACCCCAGTACTAAATTTTGAATTTTGAATTAAGAATCGACATCACAACACTCGGGACACTTCCATAAGCGCTCCGTCCCCATCTTCAGCAACAAGTAAGAAGTTCCAATTCCAATGGGACCACTAACTGTCTGATTGTATATCCACCTCGTCTTTCCCTTGAGTGTTAGTAACTCCTCACAGCGCCATTCTTTTCAGGCCGTATTGATCTATTTGTGCCTCCGCACTGTTCACTCGCTGCCAAGGGCCATCACAACATCTAGCTTGCCCTACATCAGTTCACCAACAAGTGGTGCAGGACCGGCCAGCCTATTCGCCTGCTCGTTTCCCAAAACACTGGCTTTACCTGGAAAAAAATATATAAAGGACGCTAACTACCCGGGAACTCTGAAGCGATGCTTGCCACCCTGCACTAATCTTGCCTGTCTGCACTTTTCTCAACATGCTCTATGAGTCATTTACAATTACAAAATGTGTGCACAGCTGATTCTCAAGTCAGCGGGGCAGCAGTGACTGCCTCCATCTCCATTCTCAAACTAGACATTGGGGTATCATATGCCAGTCTTTACTGCACTAAGCGACGTCCATTTGCTTTTCCACTTAACCCCCATCGGTACAGAGTCATATGTATAGATAATCACATCACCTGGGCGGGCATTATTGGGAATCATTTGTTGAACTTCTGATTCTGCTGCACCAGCAGAAAGTGATTGGAGCTCTACACAAATATGATTTTTGCTCGGACACTATGACCCACTCCTCTCCTCGCCCAAATCTATCAAGCATGTCTAACTGTCTTCAACATGCGCCATACCTAAGTTCTAGACGTCACAAACTCCCATCACTAGATGTCAGGATACCCCAGATTTATATATCAAGATATCCCAGCACTAGATGTCAGTGTACTCAAGTACTAGATATCTTGACACTATATGGAATAGGACTGCAGTCCAGAAGTGGATGAACAACCAGAACTTTCCGCCAGAGTTTACAGCTGGTGACCGCAAAGAAGAAAGAGGAATAAAAACCTGAGAAAATATACCCACAGTAATATAAATAAAATTATAATTTTTATTAAAGTGCGGGGAGGGGGTTTAAAATATATGAAAATAATTTTATTTGTGAAAAAAATATGCCTTTGTGGGCCCCTGCAGATGCCTTAAGTGTAGCTTATACCTAAATCAAGCACTGGATGTATAGCCTGTCGACCTGTTTAAACCAGGAGTTTGGCTTCAGTACTAAGGATATCGCCACTCTTCGGCCTTGAATCAGTGATAGGTTAGTTGCGTATCCTTTACAGGACGTTGCAGAACCAACCCCAACAACCCCTGGCTGTTGTGTGGGTTTTCTAGGCAAATTTACGTCCAGTAGTCTGGCCTTGATTACATGATAGATGCTGTAAATCTGGGAGAAATTTGGTTTTTCTGCCAACCCCCGGGGCGTAAACCAGGACCACAAGGAGTTCGTCACCCGGTCGCTGCTCAGTCAGGTTTAACCAATTGAGCTAGCGAGTCGGGCCTATTTTTACTCTAAGTGACCCTATTTTGAGAGACAAACCCTGTACACCCGAACATGTTGTCTGTCAGTATGCGCTGAAACAATACTTTTGAGTCTGTTACACTGAGATCGCGTTAGGGTCTGTGGTTCAGGTGTTGGGAAAGTGCTTCGTAATGCAGGGTTGCTGGGTTCGATCCCAGCTGCAGGCGGGTTGTCTAAGGTTGGTTTCGACAGCTATACTGAAAGCTGGCCATTCAGGGAGCAATGAATGGCAAACTACTGAACGTAAAATGTGCCTAGAAAAACAGCTTAATAAAAAATAATGGGGTTTGTTCTGTGACGTCCTGTAAAGGATACGCAACAAACTTTTTTTAAAACTCTGAGATAATAGCCAAATATATAACAGTAGTTTTCTTCATTCTCACAGCTGACGGAGAAATTGTGTCCATTGAAATAGAGGAGTACCTGAAGACACTGGTTGAGAGTTTGACTAAAGACTCTCCCCACCACAAAAAACATCGGATTATTATTGGTATGGACAAGTCTAATTTATTTAAGCTCACATTCTTCTTTCAACACCATTTCCTATATATATACACACACACACACGCATATATATATATATATATATATATATATATATATATATATATATATATAAAAGGTAAAGTCGGGAGATGTAAACCAGCGTCATTGCACACGGTTATAAACCATAAGTGCTCTACCATCAGTACGGACAGCTGATTGTGTTTCGCGACATCGTGGCTCTCCTTTAAATAACGGTCGCTAGCTGGAAGGCTACGGTCGCTTAGTCGGAGTTCACTCCCTTGGCTGTAGTGCAAATACGGAGTGCTAAAGAGGAAACGAAACAAATGATATAGTTACCTGTCATCCTAGGGTTAGGCTTAGGGCTTTGGTTAGGATTTGGGGTAGGGTTAGGGGTAGGGTTAGGGGTAGGGTTAAGGTTAGTGTTTAGGGTAGGGTTAGCGGTAGGGTTAGGGTTTGGGTTAGGGTTTGGGTTTGGGGTAGGGTTAGTGCTTGGGTTAGGGTTAGGTTTAAGGGTAAGGTTTAGGTTAGGGTGACACATCACGGAAGCTTATCGCTCATTACGACATACAGATCCGCAGGTCTCACATCTACGGTCACTAAGTCGTGCGTCGGAAGAACGCGGTCGCTAGTGTGAGTCGCAGCGCGTGGTTTACGAGAGTCTTGCGTCGCAAGAACGCGGTCGCGCGTGGTTTAGCTTTAGTCTGCAAATCGACCTCACTTTGTTTTTCCGCTCCGTATTTGCACTGCAGCCAAGGGAGTGAACTCCGACTAAGTGGCCATACACTTCCAGCTAGCGACCGTTATTTAAAGGAGAGCCGACATCGCTTATAGCAGGAATACTGGCATATACTTCCAATTCAAATTCCTTTTGAGAAAAAAAATCAAAAACTTAACGAAGTTCAGCCTGCTGCTAGCTAGGCGAAGCTGCCAATAGTTTGCGGCTATATTTGTGGTCTTGTTTATTTGCTCCACTTTTGTGGCTGAAGTGCTGGTATTTGCACGGTCTCTGGGCTTAATGCTTCTTTCCTCCATGTCAGCCCGCTCATTCCCTATTATGTTGTCAACTGTCCTTGGATTCAGCTCCTTCTGATTTGGCCATGCGTATTTCGTAGGAGAGCGAGTTTCTCAACAAAACGTCCTTTGGGCCACCATTTATAGTTTTACAATTTTCAGTATTTTCCTTTGCCGAAAAGTACTGAAAACAGTTTTTTTTGGTTTGGTTAGACCCGAAATGTAAAAACAGTCATATACTTTTTACACTTGCGATTTATGTAATTCACTTTCTTGACTCCTGTGGTCTGCCTTTTTGTGGAGGAAATCAAGATTGTTGGGTCAGCACAACATGACAACTATTTAGGTATACTTGAAATGCTGCGTGAATTGGACCTGTCCTTGGATGAACATCTCAAAATGTATGGATATTTTGGAAAAGGATATCCGTTGTATCTATCTGCTAACCATTGTGTAGAATTGATTGAATTAATGGGACAAAAGGTTCTTTGTATTAACCTTGAAGAAGTAAAAGAGTCAAAGTATTATTCAGTAAGTGTAGATTCCTCTCCAGACATCTTACATACAGATCAACTGAGACTTACAGATATATAAAATGCTGTGAGCTTGAGGAATGTTTCTTGACGTTCTTTCCCATCTTTTCTCATGAAGCCAAGAATCTGACAGACACTGTTGTGGATTTTCTTAATGAGATCAAAATCCCACTACCAAACTGCCGTGGTCAGTCATACAGTAATGCCTAACATGTTTGGTCGATATACTGGATTGAAAGCTGTCTCTATATATCTTCTTTTACCCCACCAGGACATCACACAAGCGATAAACACCCGATAACACAGAGTGTCACCATGTGGATGAGGATCACCTGAGGAGAGGTCCCAGAAACCGGGTTCAGCCATTAGACCATATTTAAGGCCGGGCTATATTGCGGCCCCTATTAAGAGCCAGAGTAGGGCTTCAAAGAACGAAAAATTGCATCCCACAAAGGGATGACACACACACACACAAATTCAAGCGCTAATTCATCAGTTCAATGAGTTTGCCATCAGTGTCCCCCCGTGCTGGACACAACCTGAACTTGATGAAAACAGCAGAGGATTGTCTGTAGTCTGTATTCATTTTTTGCTGGTTCAACTCAAAGGCATAATGTATTGCCATCCTATTCTGGAAAAATGGGCGATAACACCTTTTCTGTATTAGTTTACTATTCTTCTTTTGCTACCTGTATAGTTTTCATGTCTGGCATGTACTGTAGATACTCTTAAATAAGTGGTTCATTTGGGTCTGTCCTAGGCAAAGGGCTAGATGTGATGAAAGATTTGTCAGCAGCCGGTGAGAAATTCGATGTTGTGTTTTTGGATGCCGACAAGGCGCAGTATATTGATTATTTCAAGGTGAGAGGCGTGGTGTATTTTTTTTTCTCTTTTAAATTCCAACCTCAAAAAATTTCCTGGACACCGGCGATGGAGTCAAGGGAGCTCACGCTGCCTAACTCACGCAGTCGCCATGATGTAGGTAAGTGCTGTACTGAAGAAAAGAAGCAACAACAACAACAAAAAATCGTTAAGTTCAACCCGCATCCCTAAAGAAGGAGCTTTAGGTTATAATTGTGACTAGGTTATGTACACCACATAAAATGGCTAAGCACTGCATGCCACCGAGAGCCCTAAATAGGACTCCTACAGTGTTTGATGGGATTAAACTTTAATTTAAAGAAAGGAGATAGACCCAAAAAAAAAACGGCTCTCCTTGCAGTACCGGACGAGGGCTGGACGACTTAGTTCGGTTTAGTGGGAGTTCTCTCCCTTGGCCGCACTGGAAACAGTGAGCGGAAAAGTCACGAAACAAATGACATACTTACCTATTATCATACGGTTGCGTGTAGGGTTGCGTACAGTTGCGTTTAGGGTTGCGTAGTCATCAAAAGGTTGCGTACGGTTGCGTTTAGGGTTGCGTAGTCATCAAAAGGTTGTGTGAAGGGTTGCGTAGTCATCATACTGTTGCGTGTAGGGTTGCCTATTATCATACGGTTGCGTCTAGGGTTGCGTAGAGCTTGGGTTAGGGGTAGGGTTAGGGATATGGGTAGGGTTAGGGGTAGGGTTAGATGTGAACATTTTGACGTAGGAGTTCCAAATACTGGCCGACAATCTGATGCTTGTGGGAGTGGCGCCACTGGAATTCTGCCAAATAATTACGGCAATAGCGCGCGGCTGGTGCCCAACTGGTGGCGAATGGTCCGTAGCATCCACAGTCCGTCGACTGTTTGGGTGTGTATGTGACTGTGGGCGATTATAGGGAACTCCTTCGTCAAAATTGTCACATCTAACGCTAAACCTAACCCTAATCCTACCCCTACCCATAACCCTACCCCTAACCCCTAACCCTACCCCTAACCCTAACCCTAAGCCCTAACCCCACCCCTAACCGTAACCCTAATCCTACCCCTAACCCTACACCTAACCACGCAAATTTATCGGTCATTAAAGCATACAGATCAGCAAACCCCCCCCCCCCCACCCCCCCCCCCAAAAAAAAACAGATTTCCCCGCAGGGTAAAAAAAAAAAACCAGATCTGGGGGACACAACCAACCATTGGCAGCCCTGATGTCGACCTCACTGTCTTCTTTGATTCGTGACTTTTCCGCTCATTGTTTTCAGTGCGGCCAAGGGAGAGAACTCTCACTAAACTGAAATAAGCCGTTCAGCCCGCGTCCAGCCCTCGTCCGGTACTGCAAGGAGAGCCCAAAAAACTGTTCCGGCTGGCGACGAAGTCGTCGACTGGCGAGCAAATGGCCGACCCAGTCGACGATGTTTGAGTCACTACGAACTGTGATGTAATATTTAGAATCAACCCCTTTCCCCACACTCCCCGCCCGACGGCAAAAATCTCTGTTACCCAGGATCTAGGGCCCCCAAAAAATAGAGCTACTGCCCATGACAAGCTTGTAGTGACAGGCGACGAATTATGTCTCCTTCGTCGGAGAGGCGCGGAACCAACAGTCGGTGTACGACTAAGTCAGATATATTAAACGGACGAACACGCTAAACTTAAGTTCGTGAACAAGATCAAAAGAGAGAAGTGGACGAACGAACAACCTGACCAGGAGCAGACGTTTGGAGACTGATTGCACTTGACCTTTGTGGAAATGGTACCCGATTGATTGGGAAATTGACAGAGATTTTAAGAGATTCATTGATTGTAAATATTATTAACGTGTTGTCTGTTGGCAATTCTTATGAATAAACAGAGAAGGAACCTTTGCAATTCTATCCAGTTTCGTCCTTTTTCGGATGACATTTTTTGTTATTTAAAGCCCCACCCTGGCCTTTGCCAGGGGCCGCAATATAGGCAGGCCATATAATGGCCAATTGTCTAAACGCGGTTTCTGGAACATCTCCACGGCGATCCTCATCCACATGGTGGCACTTTGTGTCATCTGGTGTTTATCGCTTGTGTGATTACATAGTGGTGTAGAAAGTCAGTCAGTCAGTCAGGAACCTTTGAGGCCGTTAAATATTATGAATTAATCAAGTAACAGAAAGTGTATCGATCGGCACTCATAGAAAGAAGTAGAAAGATAGAAGAACACACTAGACAACATAAAAATCGAAAGTTATAGTTACCGTGCCGGGAATTGAACCTGTCACCTCAAGACGGCGTGTGCATCTCGCCATGAATACAACTGCACTAAGAACATGGTCAACTAGGCACCCCCCAAAAAGGTGCTTTATTGGCCATGTCTATCGAACAGCTTGAAATCCACAACTATGGAATACGGACAGAATTCATTTCAAACCATTGAAATAGCACCATAGGTTACATAAATTTATATTAACTGATGATACTGATTTACTACCCCACCAGGACATCACACAAGCGATAAACACCCGATGACACAATGTTCCACCATGTGGATGAGTATCACCGTGGAGAGGTCACAGAAACCGCGTTCAGCCTTTAGGCCATATTTATGGCCAGGCTATATTGCAGTCCCTGGCAAGAGCCAGAGTAGGGCTTCAGTTAACGAAAAATTCCATCCTTTAAAGGACGGGAAATACACAAAGATTTATATTAACGAAGCATATGTTGAATAATAATCACAGCAACAATTTACGAACACAGTAGACTGTCTGTTGGCATTTTGTTAAGTCGACAATTTTTTTTAAATGCTGACAGATGCCCTAGGAAGAAGCAATGGCTGACTTGATATTGGCCACAAAATTCAAATATTGTTCTTTGGTCCATAAAATATTAGCCTCGCATCACACGCACCCTGTTTTGTAACTTTACTTTACTATATAGGTAACGGTGATAAAGGATGCAATTTCCGGAAAACGAGGCAGGGGCCGACCACCGTGAAGGCGGTTACAGGACATTGAAGATGTATTGGCCATGAAAGCGCACAGGGCTAGAGAATTAGATGGAGAAAGAAAGACTTTCGGGCGCTTATTGATTAACTACCATATACTTAAGCTAGACAGCTCTGTGGCTAAGTCGATGCAAACGCTTCGTAATGCCGAGATGCCGGGTTCGATCCCAGCTGCGGGCCATGCGAGTGGTATCAAGAAAGCCGACTGCACAGAAAGCAATGGCAAACTACTGGACGTAAGTTTGCCTAGAAAAACCACACAACAGCCAGGGGCTGTTGGGGTTGGTTCTGCAACGTCCTGTAAAGGATACGCAACGAACTAACTAATACTTAAGCTAGAACAGAGTGGAAGTATATACTACTAACCCCGTGCGACGTATAACAGCACAACATGATGATAACGATAATGTCAGCGACAACGATATTGATGATAATGATGATGTCAGCGACGACGATATTGATGATAACGATAATGTCAGCGACGACGATATTGATGATGATGGTGATGGAATAGTTTTTATTCTTACAGTCCATGCCATGTGGCGTCTGTAGTCTTTAGTGCCGTGATGTCCAGCATCGTCTCTCTCTTGGTCTCCCTCTGACTCTTCCCCTCCAGTTCTCCCACCGTCAAGATGTACATCAGTTTTCTCCTTCTCATGACTTGACCTAAGAATGGTATAAAAGTAAAAGTGAAGGATCAGTTACCACGACTAGAAGCGTATTGGGCATATAGGGCTAGACCTATCTTTTCTAGACTAATCTGCACTCGGTGGATGATGTGAACAACTTCACGCCGGCTGCCTCTATTTGGCAGAAGTTGATATGGCACCCATTAAAGGCTGGGTTGACGTAGGAGCCAAGGTCATTTCTGAGAAAAATGCGGCTCAGTCGGGACCCGAACCCACGACCTTCTGATCTGCAGGAGATCATCTAGCGCTACGCCATGGCGGCTCCCGTGGAATGGTATGATTAGAACCTGTCCGTCTATCCATACGATAGTGTTATAGCCGCACATGGCAATGGCGAGTGACTAGCAAGACCCGCTCGCATTAAGACAAGTCTGCCACAATTATAGCATAGGGTTTTCACGACCGTTGTTGTCAATATTTGTGTTTAGTCTGTTCCTTACTTCTCAGACGCTCAGTTCTCATCCCTTTTGCAATAATTTCTTCCTTCAGTCTCACTCCTCTCCTGATGTGCCCCCCTCGATACAACGGGGTGCTTGACATTTTGTTCACACGAGTCCACTTCAGTACCAGTATCATTCATGTCCCGATTGCACAAAGAATGGTATTATCATCATTAGTTCTCAGCATGCCTAGAGGCACATGAGGCTTCAGAGAGGACTTCCCATGCTTTCCTGTCCTGTGCAATCTTCAGTGCAGTTTTCCATGTCAGAGATGCCGCTGTTTTGGCAGGTATATCAGAATTCATTCTCATAACGTCACCAAGCCATTTCCATCTTCTCTTGGTTATCATACTGTCTAGAGTTTCTTGATTGGTAACTTGAAGTAGTTTAGCGAAGAATAGTATAGTTAGTGGTAAAAAAATGGTTTGCTGTTAACAGTCACATGCTATCTATATTACCAGCTGGTCTTTGACGGTGGTTTGCTCAATCCTGGAGGCACGGTGCTGGTAGATAATGCTTTTTTCTTTGGAGCTGGTTACGATCCTTCTGTGGGAGACAATCCTACCAAGCAGTTTGCCAGAGCTATGTCTTCATATCCATCCTTACACAAGGTGAGACTGGTACAACGACTGTAGTGCGATTCAAAACTCATGGCGAATATCTCCAACATGCCTGAACGGATCAACACGAATTATTGCATGTGGCCTTAGGCTACCCAAGTCCTTATGATTCTGTAATTTACAATTGCATAGTTGCTGCTATATTCTGCAAGCGGCCAATTTCTTTGAACTTTGTTTCACTCATGATTTCTGTAATCTTACAAAATGGAAGATAAGTAACTGACACATGTGTGGAAATTGTTTGGATGTTCACATGCATAGCGATGCGTTGTGATTATTTTGATAGCCAAGAAGACAGTGGAAAGATAAGCACCCGCAGAACTACAAACACTTGGAGTCACCAAGTAGAAAGAGAAGGCCAGTCAGAGATATGAATGGAAGTGGGTGATATGATATCTGCAGCAATGAATCTCTAATGCTCGGAATGCCGAAGAAGAAGAATGCACAAGGCAAAAGGAGTTTTCATATCACTGTAGAATATATTAAAGTGACAAGAAATTGAAACTAGTACCGAACTTAAAATATATGACTCTAATATCAAATTAATGCTGCTGTACTGAGCCTGGCTTTAAAGACAACTTAAACAATTACTAATAAACGACAAAAATGTGTAATTATGAACGTCGTAGTTTTCGGGAAGCAGTGACCTACTACTGAAAGGTTTGAGGTTTGAACAACTGATCAACATCATGGCCCACGGGTAGTTACCCATAAGTGCTCTCTGTCCTTCTTCTAACTGAAGTCTGAGTCCGAAGAAGCTCAGCGCAGTGCACAGGCTCTATAGCACCGGCGAGAATCCTGAAATAATTTGTGTAGATTTTTAGCTCCTAATTTTGGTAGGGCAGCGCCACTAGGCTACTCTTTTCGATTTCTAACTGCCAGGGTATATTTTACGGGCGCACCAATGCACAGGGGCGTCCGATCTCACTATCAAGAGATGAGGGGGAATTACTAGAAGTCCTAGTCCACGTGAAAAAATCCCAGCTCTTACCGGGGATTGAATCTGGAACCTCTAGCACTCGAGGCGGACACCATGCCCCGAGACCACGCAGCCCCCTCTACTGAAAGGTAGAATTGCATAGTATAACAACACAACCAAGAATATAAGATCAAATAGTTTGGTCATATTCTTAGAATGCGGCCAAGACAGCCACCAACTCAGGCTCTACACGTAAGAAGATCTGATGTGAAATTAAGAGCTCGCCTTACGTGAAAATTAATTGATAACATTCAAGATATAAATCGACACAAAAAAGCCATCAAGCAATGGATCACAAACTTTCCTCCCCATGTGACTTAACTATAAAAGTGAACATTGATGATAATGAGCAGCCAATGAATGCCATGGTTACTTTGCCACGTCCTATAAAGATCAAGCAACCAGCTTTTAGAGCAAACTTTTGAACAGGTGAATGGAATCCCTCAGGGTGCTGTAATATCCCCTACCCTGTTCAGCATATTAGTAAACGACCTTGATGATGCCATCACGAACAAGGACACGGGACTAACTCAGTTTGCGGACGATTGTGCAATCTACCACAGCCATAATCAGATCCCCTGCGCTAAGAAAAGATTGCAGAAAAGTCTAGACGAAGTTACGCATTGGATGGGAAAATGGGGATTTAAAATCAACGTCGACAAAACAGTAAGCATGATATTCAACTTTAAAAGACAGCTTAATTATGACCCAGAAGAAACGAGACTCCAAATTAATGGCAGAACAGTTCAGCGGACACGTTCGACGAAATTTCTAGGAATGATTCTGGATGAGCAAATGACCTGGGCTAAGCACATCGATGATCTCGTAGTAAAGTGTACAAAGTACAATAATATACTGAAAATGATTAAAGGAAACGGATGGGGAGCACACCAGGACACCCTAACACAATTTTATAAAGCTTTCGTTAGGGGCAAAATGGAATACGGAAGCATAGTATACGAATCAGCGTCAGAGAACAGCAAATGCAAACTTGATAGGATTCAGTGCCAAGCCCTGACTTCCATCATGGGCGCTGGCAAAGGGACATCGAGAGAGGCCATGGAGGTAGCACTAGGCATCACACCGCTTAACCTCAGAAGGAAACAACTAACTTATAGCTATTGGATGAAAGCGGCCAACGATGCCAGACACCCAGCTTCAGACGCTTTTCATCATAACATTACCCACCTAGGTGACAGACCGGTCAGAGACATACAGAGACCAGCAGCCTGGGACGCTGCACTAGAAATTAACGATGATGAGGACTTAGCTAGGACTCTAGAGGCAAGCGTTAGGTTTGTCCCTCAAATCCCTCCATGGAGACTAGAGCTGCCCAGGACAGACATGAGTCTGATTAAAATTATTAATAAGAATACTGAAACATTTGAAGCCAAAGCAATAACAGAAGAATACATAGACCAGATCCGATCAGACAATCTGGTTGCATACACTGACGGATCAAAGAATGAAGCAGGAGAAGTAGGAGCAGGAGTAATAATCCCACAGTGGAACATACAAAGAGAATATAAAATAACAGATCATGTGGCAGTATGCACAGCAGAACTAGTCGGCATTATGAAGGCACTAGAGATGGTAATTAATAAACCTCCAACTAAATTTACCATACTGACAGATTCATTGTCCTCGGTGCAGACGTTAAAAACACATAAAACTAACAGTAGACCAGATATTAAAGAGACAATCCTGAATCTAACAACTCAGCTCAAGAATAAAGGATGCCAAGTCACCATTGCATGGGTACCAGCACACAGAGGTGTAATTGGCAATGAAAAAGCTGACATAGCAGCCAAAAAGGGAGCAAAATGTGATGTTTTAATAGATGTAGGACTTGGAAAAACAGAAAGGACCAGCATAATCAAACGACATATAATTAAAATGTGGAAACTGCAATGGCAAAGGAGCAATAATGGCAGAGATGCCTACAATAACCTTAAAGAGCCCAGCCTTAACACACAGGTACGGGACAAACTGAAAATTCCAGCCAACAAACTTCTATGGAGAGCTAGATTAGGATGGCACCCAGAGAAATTTACATCTCCACTATGTCTGGACTGCTTTCAAGATAATACTCTAGAGCATTATATAATAAACTGCACTAAGTATAAATTGGAAAGGAAACCCATTGAGGAATTTTTTCTAAAACGCAAACAACAAATTACTGTAAACAAATGTTTAAATGTAGAAAGCAATAAAGACATCCAAAAACTGGTTAAACAATACCTTATTAAAACAAATCAAAACTAAAAAGACCAGATTAGGGATTTACTCAGTATAACAGAAGGAACTGATGAGATGGTAACCCCGAACATCCTAGAGTCAGAGAGATAGTGTAAGTATGATGAGTGCATAGATGTGAACATGGACACATACACAAGGATGAGTGCGTGTAGTATGAGTGCATTTGTGTATAGGATGGATACATAAGACACGGTGTATGTAGGTGGATGGTATGGAATCATATGTGGACGGAACAGTGGGAATATAGTTGTGCGAAAGGTACAGATGAATGAGTACATGGATTTAAATGTATTACTGTATGCATGTATATGTGTGTACGAGTGTGCATGTGTGTATATATATGAGAGCGTGTATACTAATATATTTGTGAGTGTATGAATGACAGTGCAATCAAAGAAACCATAAACTGTGTTGCTGTATGTCTGTTCATTAATGAGAACAAATGGAATGAAGGGTGTAAGCAGCAAGAACGTCATCAACGCACACTATCCACCAAAACATGATACGTCAGTACCGGACAGGTCACATACCAGTAACAGGACATAACTTAAAAGTGACACGACCAGACGAAATTACAGACAAAGCGACACAAAACACATAAGACATGGAAGAGTGAATATCACTACGTGTGGATGTACTCGTTTTTTTTTTTTTAATGAATGTAAGCACAGGCATTGGTAAACGCATATGAAAGAGTTTGCGTGTGTACGTAATGTCAATTAGGTATGCATATACGGATAAGTATGAAAGGACGTACAAATATGTAGTGTTGTCTGCATGTATGAGTACTCGAGTGCATGTACGCATACACCTAGTTGGGTGCGTCCATATACTCCGGGGATTCATAAACAAAACCATCCCACTCCACAACATGCATACAACATGCACATGACCGACAGGACTCGTAACAAAAATATGACTGACAGCAAGTAGGGAATACAAGTGACTCGATAATGACAGGACTAGAACGCATAGCCTCCAATACCACCCCATCACTGGGATGATAGCAAAGGTTGGTAACGTGATACACATGGTCCCGGCAAAAAGCCACGCTAGAATCCAGCAAGACGGCAACGACGAGAATTGACTGAATGGCCTCCCGCTCCCCTTCCCCCACCTTTCCCTAAATCTTTCGGATGCACTATGAGTTTAACCCCCCAACCATTCCCACTGAGAGCACTTGAGTTCGTTGCCCATCATGCCACAACAATTCTCATCGCCGATCATTTGGATCTCAAAGCGTGAGCTGGACGGTCCGGTTATATGGTATTTACGTACACCGGAGCTTAGCTATCAACACAACCCGATCACATAATAACAAATGACGACTGGACTCGCTTAAGACTCCACACAAACTCCCACACACATATCCAATACATGACTAACCCGTTCATATTACAGGAAGACAACTATAAGACCACTATGGTCATACGCGGAAAATTTTCACATTTCGGAACTATTCACATTCAAAAACTGTTTTCAGTACTTTTTGGAAAATTAAAATACTCAAAATTTTAAAACAATAAATGGTGGCCGAAAGGTCGTTGTGTTTGGAAGCTCGCTCTCCTTCGAGATACGCCTAGCCAGATCAAAGGGAGACAGAACAAACAGGAAACACCACGAATGAAGAAGGAAGACTTGCACCAGTGACAACAGGACGAGCGGTTTGATACGGAGGGAAGCATTAAGCCAGAAATGGCACAAACACCAGTATTCAGTCACGAAAGTGACGCAAATAACCCAGACCACAAATATAGGCGGAGACTGTTAGCAGCCTAGGCTAGCTAGCAGCAGTCTGAACGTGGTCGAGCTTTTCTTTTTTTTTCTTAAAAGGACTTGGACTTGGACTTTTAGAGCACATAATCAAACTTTCCGGAGAACTTGAAGGCAATTGTGATGCGGGTCTAAATCCTCGGGATCAATAATCCTGTCCTACAACCGCTCTAAAATGAGATTAACACATCCAGTAAAGAGGGTTATTCATATTGTGCTATCCAAGTACTTATCTACGGCTTATGCAGAGAAGGAACAAACAATGTCATGGACTCTTGAATATATGTGTGACTGTACGGACATATTAGTAGGAGACCTATATGTTTATGTTTTCTACAGCTTATGCAGAAAAGGACACAGTAGTGTCATGGACTCGGGAATATATGTGTGACTGTAGGGACATATTAGCCGGGTGACCTATATGTTTATGTTTTTTTACAGCTTACGCAGAGAAGGACATAACAGTGTCATGGACTTAAGCATATATGTTTGACTTTATGACACATTAGTCGGGTAACCTATATGTTTTGGTTTTCTACAGCTTACGCAGAGAAGGACATAATATTGTCATGGACATGGAAATATATGTGTGACTGTATGACATATTAGCCGGGAGACCTATATGTTTGTTATCTACAGCTTATGCAGAGAAAGAAAGTATAGTGTCATAGACTCGGGTATATATGTGTGACTATGACATATTAGACAGCGATGCAACCAAAGTCTCTAACATGCGGTGACTTGACTCCATGGGTTAAATAAGACGTGTTTAACACGACTCTGCTTTAAAAGATGGCAACTGTAAGACGAAAGAAAATGTAGAACAGAGATAACATAGATAATATGAAATAACAGGAGCTATTACAAAGCTCACCTTTTTGTGAGCAACAATGTTTGTGCAAGAAATCGTTCAGAAAAACTGATTATTTTTGTTTCACACTTGTAATTCCAGGTACTTGTTCCAATTCGAGATGGCGTCATGATCGTTCGAAGACTATCAGATGTCGAAGGTGGCGTGTGAATGAATAATTCCTATCGTTTATCATTGGTTGAATTCTTAATAGTTGAAAAAAAATTAATTAAACAGATTTCCTATATAGTTTTCGTTCTGAATTTCATTCTTCTGATGTGGTAATTGTTAACATTTTCGGTGCTTTATTATTACCCTACCCCAAACAGGGGAAATCTACAGGTCACAGGACAGTCTAATATCTCAGGGGGCGGTAGATAGGCTGCATGCAGTTGTGGGACCTAGGCTACATGCTTTCGTGGGGCCTAGGCTGCACTCTCTCGTGGGACATAGGTGGATTGGGGTTAGGGCCAGTTCTAGATGTTTTGCTGTCGTTAAAAGCATCAGAAAGCCGGGAAACCCAGTCTTTCCACTGTCTGAAATGTTGGATTGTCCTGTGACGTCATCTGGGGTAAGATATTAATAAGTAAGTGAGCGGAAAAAAAAGTAAAGGACCCTTTTCCACGCCTTTAAGCGTATAAGGCATATAGGGCTAGACATACATTTTATAGACCAACGGCACAAGATGGGTGATGTGGTCAGCATCACACCGGCCGCCTCTACCTGCCGGGACTGCACCCGGTACACACTCAAGGCTGGGTCGACCTGGGAGCCAAGGTCATTTTTGAAGAAAAGTCCGGCTCCGCAAGGGAGCGAACCCACGACTTTCAGATCCGCGGCGCACGTCTAGCCTCTCTACCACGGCGACTCCCCTAATATATTATAAAAAACCAAAATTTCTCTTCGTATATCTGCCAAAGCGATTAGGATGTGCTGCAGCTAGGAAGATTTGAGGAGTAAGTAAGTAAGTAAATGTTAACTCACCAGAACATCACACACAGAGCGAAAACACCCGGTGACACAAAGTGCCACCATGTGGATGAGGATCACCAGTGGAGATGTCTAGGAAAGTGCTTTCAACCGTTAGGTAATATTGCTGCCCCTGGCAACAGCCAGGGTGGGACTTCAAAAAATAAAATTACATACCACAACGGAGATGATGGTGATATGATTAGATTTGAGGTGAGAACAAGAAGAAGAAAGAAGATTTCTGACACCCTCTTGTCCTGCATGAAAATGTGTAAGGTAAATGAATTTATATCAGCTGCTGGGAGTCATTGAAAAAAAAATGAAGAAACGCCAGTCGGCAAGGCACTTAAAGATGATTATATGTTATTGTCTCCGTTTTTATTTAATTTTAAAATGGCTATCATGTCTAGGCCTAAATGTCAAGGGTCGGAGGAATAGAGGGAGGATGAGATAGAGGAGGAGAAAGGTAAGAAGAAGAAGAAGAAGAAGAAGAAGAAGAAGAAGAAGAAGAAGAAGAAGAAGAAGAAGGAGGAGGAGGAGGAGAAGAAATGAGAAGGAAGAGGAGAAGACGCAGGTAGAGAAGAAATGAAAGAAGAAAAAAAAAGGAACACTTGGAGATGGCGAAGAAAAAGAAGAATTAGCAGGAGGAACAGTGTCGTGCCATTAAGTCAATTCAGTAGCGAGGCGACAAAACTATATCTTTTTTTTAGTCTACCAAATGAGATAAAAATGCAACGGCCGCCGTCTGGCGGAAGCAACAAAGTTGCCACGACTAAAAACAAGGACTAGGTCTATTGTCTGTTTGACCAGAAATGGTAATTTGGTAAACGTCCCACCGGTTGCCTTTACTTCCCGTGTAATTTAGGCTCATGTGATCTGCCAGCCAAAATCAGTTTTTTTTTTTTTAAGCCGCCTCAAAGGGGATTCAAACCCAAGACCTTTAAACCGACAGTATAACGTATAGATACTATATTGTTGCGGCTCCCTTTATAGAAGGACAAGAGGGAAGTTTACAAAGACTCTTGATTATTCATGTTAGGACTGAATTAATCAATCAGGTACCACCTTCACAGTAAATAATGGCTACAGTAGGTCTCCCTGTCTCTGGCTCAACTGATCTTGTTTTGCCTACCTATCTCATAGCACATCGGTCCGACCTTATATTGCTCCGTCCTCCGATGCAGCAGCCATTGCAGTATTTCCATGCTCACCGTACCCAGTAGAAGTTGACAAACATTTGTTTGTTGTGTGTGTGAGTGAGTGCGCGCGCGCGCGTGTGTGTGAGTGTGTGCGTATGTGATTGTGTGTGTGTGTGTGTGTGTGTGAGTATATGTGTGCGTGCGCGTGTGCGTGTGAGTGAGTGTGTGTGTGCGTGCATGTGAGTGAGTGTGTGTGTGCGCGCGTGTGTGAGTGTGCGTGTGTGTGCGCGCATGCGTGCGTGCGTGCGTGCCCAGCAACCGATGTCTGCATGCTTATCCTCGTTTAATAATACCCGTACCCAACAGGCAGATTCATTTGTCTCAACGTCTCTGGAACGCAAGGCATCCAGTAAAGGTTATTGAAAAGGGTTCATTCTTTTTCGGACACCCTGTATATAACAAATGCAATAAAGATACCTAATGGGAATTCAAGAAGTACTATCACCATGAAGGATCTATAGATCGCAGTTATAAATAAAAGCTTTCATTGGTTGGTTGAACGCGACTGAAACTCACCCACCCCCCCCCCCCCCACCCCAGGTCAACACAGTTCAGTTTCATAAAAAGTTGCACAGATGTAATATTTTCACTGAGACATATATGTAAACAATCTATTAATTATCATAAAGGTCAACACCTCCTATTTATAAATCAGGGTATCGAGTGAACAAATGCAGACTATGGACAGTTCTAGAAGATTATGGAAGTCAAGATCAACTGTTGGTGAACATCATGGCTTTTTATCAAGCTAGCCAGTTTACAGTAAAAACAACAGAAGGAATGACATACTGGTTTTCCGTCTCATCAGGTGTAAAACAGGAATGTGTCCTCTCAGCCTTGCCCCTCATTACTAAAGTTGATAGAATTGCACAGGAGGTAAATGGAGACGCTGTTAAAATAAATGAGCAGCTTTTTGCAGACGATTAATGTCTAACCCACCACCAAGCACAGAATCGACAACAACATTTTGACTCCTTTTTATATTAAACTTAAAGAGAATAGGGGCTTTTGTCTTAAAAGATCTGAACATCAAGGAAGATTGGCTAATAAACAGCATTTTTTCTCAGAAGCTGAAATATTTTGGTCAAATCAAGCGCCACACCGGATTGGAAAAAACTATAGCAGAAGGCATGGTACTAGGAAGGAGGGGCAGGGGCCGACCGACACGAAGATGGGCACAGGATATAAGTGACTCCTTGAGTATGAAAGTACATAAGGCAGGAGAACTGGCGAGAGACATAGAGTTTCTTTCAGGCAGACTGTGATAAGAGCGACGTTCTGCAAAAGGCCTGCTACATGATGATGATATGAAACTTACACAAAGTTTGATATGAAAATAAACACCACAAAAACGCAGACTGTGATATAAAATAGGAAACACAATAACATAAACGTTCATGCTAATGGCTCTATAGTCAGACAAGTATAATACTTCAAATACATGGGAAGCACATCTAAAGAAGACGGCAGACTCTACAGAGAGATAGAAGCTGGAGTACAGAATGCAAATGCTGTCATCTACCAGCTAATCCCTTAGCCTAAACGTCTCCCTTCCCGCAAAATAGAAAATGATTGACAGCATCTGTATCCTTACTTTATGCTGTAAGTTTCAGACATGGGCAATGAGTAGGGCAATAGAACAGAAAATAACCACCTGTCTCCGTAATGTCACTCACAACACGAGAAGGGGCAGTGTTACGAACACCAGCATTAGAGAGTCGGAACAAGACCGTGTCTGAATTAATCTGTTAGACAAAGTCAGAACAAGACCCTGTCTGAGTTATATAGATAGACAAGGAATGAAATGGTTCGGCCATCTAGTAAAATACAACCAGACCAAACTGCAACTGCAACTTTTTTACAGCAGAACATCTACAAGGAAAGCGAGAGGAAGACAAAGAAAGACACTGATAAATTGCGTAGGTGAATCCTTCAAAAGGATGAACCAATCCATTATCCCAGAAGCGCGAGACAGATACAGACAATTGCGACACTAGGCCACGAGGAGAATAATCAGTGACTGCACACTAAGGAAACAATATATCAACCATGTTAATTGTCTAATGATTCATAATACAGTTTCTTTCATAAACACAACCCAAATCAAAGCACAATGTAAAGCAATACAAATTAAATTTTGGTCTTATAAATGATTACGATATATAAATTTAAAATAACAAGTATGAGAGAACTCAATTACCACTCTATGTCCCAATTATAACACTGAAGGTTAAACAGGACATTTTTGAAAAAATACTACTACTACTGCTACTGTCGGCTCTGTGGCTAAGTCGATGCGAACACTTCGCTTCGTAATGCCGGGATGCCGGGTTCGATCCCAGCTGCGGGCAATGCGCCTTGCGTTGGTTTCGACAGTGGTATCAAGAAAGCCGACCATCCAGAAAGCAATGGCAAACTACTGGACGTAATTTGCCTAGAGAAACCACACAACAGCCAGGGGCTGTTAGGGTTGGTTCTGCAACGTCCTGTAAAGGATACGCAACAACCTTCACGACTGCTACTACTACTACTACTACTACTGGGCTGCAACCTGTTATCAGTGAGACGACAAAATAAGACAAAGAGGAATCAAGCAAGCATCCAGTTAGCAATCCTGAACTTTATCGGGGGAGAATAGATAAAACGGTTTGGCCATGCAACAAGACTGGGAAAACACTGTGCAGGGTTTTACAGATACAGAAGTTATATAACCAGAGGTCGACCACGCAAAAATTGGACCGCGGAAATATCGGACATTGAAAACGGCCCGTTGCAGAGATCTGCCCTTAGGGCTGCCAATGCTGGGTTTTCCCCCAGATCTAGGTTTTTATTTGATGCCTTGGCGGAAATCTGTTTTATATATATATATATTGACTGTGTGAAGCATGAAGAAGTAATCAAACTGTTAGAAAAATTAAACATTGATGGGAAAGATCTAAGAATAATAAAGAATATGTATTGGCAGCAAACAGCAGCTATAAGAATTAACAACTGTTTAGGTAC